GGAAGTCCAATGCTATGAGTGTCTTATGACCCAGTAAGAATTCTGTGATTTGATTTTTTTTAAGATTTTATTACTTATTTGAGAGAGAAACAGAGAGAGAGTGTGTGTGCTCGAGTGAGGGGAGGAGCAGAGGGAGAAGCGGGCTCCCAAATGAGCAGTGATCACCCTGGCATCTTGACCTGAGCTGAAGGCAGATGCTTAACTGACTGAGCCACCCAGGCTCCTCCCTGTGATTTAACTTTTTTTTAAAGGTACTGGAAAAGGAGTCAAAACTATCCTTATGGATCCATTAACTCTTGTGTCATCACAGAGGTTTTGACAAGTGAGTGTTAAGGCTCCTCCCAGTCCTATCATCTATTACTTGGGTTCAATGTGTGGAAACTAGAGTCTGAGTAAGGCCCAGCCTAGCCACTCACTACCTTAACCATACTTAGCTTCAGTGACTTTGTCTGTAAGAAGCATCTAATAATATCATCTCATGGAGTTTGTTGCAATAATGTTTGCTGAAGTAGTATAAACACAAGACATTTGTAAGTAGCAAAATACTTATATAAATGGTAGTCACCTATGATTATTATGACCATTTGGGTGGCCTCCAAACTTTTGCACCAATGGCTCTTGCTCCAACCATCGTGTTCTTTTACCTCTAACTGAGGCATAGTCCTTTATGATTGACTTGAGCCTCATAGTTATGTTTCCACTAACAATAGCCATTTGTCAGCAAATTTGTTAGCAAAGCCAAAATGATTCCTTTCTCCCTTGGGAAAATATGATCATGAAGCAAGTTTAGAGGGTAAGTGATGACGGGTTGAGGAGGTAATAGCAGAAAACCTAGGGACTTCACTAAATGCCAACACTCAGAAGATAACACATATCAAACAAGCTGCCAAAATATAATGCTTAGACCTCAGAAACTGTTGCAGAGTTTTATGTCTCCAACTACACTCGTTCTGCTCTCCCCACACCTTCAAAACATGGAATATGAAGAGGGCAAATAGGTAGCGAGGTTTTTTGTAACGATGTGTGAGGTGGTGTAATGAAGCACAACTTATCTTTGGAAGAGGGACTTGACTCATCGTGGAACCAAGTAGGTTATGCATTTTACTTCAGAGCATATATTCCTCTGGACTTGTAGCCTAATCCTGAATGAATGGAACATCTTGGGAAGTCAGGAAGTTCCAAACTGGAAACCCACTGTTTTGTTGTTCCAGAGAGTCAAGGTAAAATATGAGGACAAATTCATTAGGTTTCTCTTAGGAAAATATTCTATATATGCATGGAAACTCAGTTCTGACGATTTATAGAAGTAAGCCTTCTACAACGGCCTGAACTAAGCCCTTGGTCAAGCTTTTGGTCCCCTCCTCAATCAGGAACTGGGAACAGGGAAAAGGCAAGCTCTAGGTGAGGAGAATCTGTTTATGAGGACAGAGAGTCCTGGCCATGGTGTAAGAAAAGAGATGGTTAAAAAGAAGAAAAATATTATTAAGGAAGGAGTTAGATCAAGATAGTCTTTTCTCCCTCAGATGACAAAAGCCAATCTTGCCCTTGTGTCGATCCCCAACACCCCATCCTAGTCTGGGTCAGCCAAGAGCAGTTAATGGGCTCACCTCTTCTGTTAGCCCGGAATCCAAGGACTCTACATTGAATGTAGAATTCATGAGCCTACATCCAATGTAATCACAGCCACCAACTTCAGGACAATAGAGAAGTAATGGTGCTCTCCTAAGGATATTGTCCACTGATAATCTGTTCCAGGGCTTGGAGATCCAGGGGTGATATTCAAGTAGTTTGGGTGACTGCCGACAGTCAGTCACTGGGACCGGCCCAGAGACCAGTAGTCTTTCAGAAGCTTTTCTAATTGCAGTCATTGCCCCTTACATGGTTAAACTTTATCTCAGAGGAAATAAAGAAGTGGAAAGTTACGTGAATGGGGCAAGGTGGACAGTCCTGAAAGCAGCCAGTAGTGTCAACATGGCGTCTGCCACTCAGAAGGAAACATAACCTTACAGGGGTTCTTGATTGCCTGTTGCTTCCAGGGAAGTAGTGTAATTTGAGGAGTTGTCTCTGAAAGGAGAGAGACTAGAAAGGAAGAGGGAAACAATCGTGTTGTAGCTGATTGCAGTCTGATCGATGTTGGGCAAATTGAATCTGAGCACAAAGTATTGTGTTTCATTTTCCCTTTAAATCATTTCCACTTGAAATTCAGAATTATCTGCAGTGTTAGAATCAAATCTCTGAGGCTGTGCCTTTGGGAGCCTTAGGGAAGAAGGAAAGAGATGAAAGTGATGCTTAGCCCCTCTGCTGGGACGCTGACCCATGCTCTTCAGCGATACTCCATTTACTTCTTTAGTTTTCTCTTCCTACCATGATGGAGTGTAATATGATTATGTGAAGCTCAGGTAGAGAAAGTGAGAATCTCAAGTCAAGCCCTCAATCCTTAAAGTTTTGACAGCAAATAATGGCCCTATCCAACCGTCATTCCCTTTGGCTCTAGCCCTAGACTCTTGATTTCTGGTGATGAGACAGAGTAATCCATATGGTCTTAAAATTCTATTTCACATGATTATTGTATCCTCCTGAAGCTTGCATCTGGATCCAGAGACAGGAGAAATTATAAAATGAAAACAGTCCAAAGCAAGCAGCGGCTTCCCTGACCCACATCCATGACCTGTGGCACCACTGGGCTCCCTGTCGGCTACCAACTTCTTGTTCAACCCTTGGATCCTTAGAATGCCTTTTCCTGGGCTCAGGGAATTAGGAGACAGATTCCTTATTATTGTGAGACTCAGTCTGAGTGATGGGAAAGAAATTAGGTTTCTAATCAAAAAGCAGAATTTGTGACCCAAGAGAAGGAACCAGAATATGAGAACGAGACCTGTGTCTAAACCCTCTTCAGCCTGACACTTGTTATAAGAAATGTCACCAGTCAGTGCCCCATCCCTGTTCCCAAGCTATCATGTTCTTCTTGAGGAGGCCTCCCAACAAACTGGGAGTTAAATTTACCATCTTGAAGGCAGCTACCTGTACTTGTCACCTTCCTCTCTCCCTCTATGTCAGCCCTGTCCCCTGCCCCAGTGCTTCCTGGCTGAGATTCTGGGCTCACAACCTCATCCAGCAAACTATTATTAGCTTCAAAGGGAACTGAGACGCTGTGCACTCAGCCCCTTGATCTCATCAAGGGCACCTTTGTAGTTCTCAGAGTTGTGGGGTCTCTAGGCTGAGACCCCGGCTGGGGAGGCAGGGCACAGATGTGCTCACCCAGGCCCTAGGGCCAGCCCCAGGCTGGTTAATTGTGAGGCAGCATTGCGATGTGCTCCTGGGATACTCGACAGATGTTTTTTGGAGCTGGCACCAGACTCTTCGTGGAGCCACGTGAGTTGCCTTTTTTCCCCTCTATTTCTAGGGATAAACTGAGTCCTGGCACTGGGGCTGCCATCCAGTTTACATTCCTTGGGAAAGTAGAACTAGATGGAGCACCCCAGATGTGGGGGTAGGCCAGAGTAAAGTCACCAGGCTGAGTCACTGAAGTAGCTCTGTAACTAGTTTTGTTCTGAAAAAGCATATGTTAAAACTATAGCCCTGGGGCGCCTAGGTGGCTCAGTCAGTCAAGCATCTGACTCTTGCTCTCAGCTCAGTTCTTGATCTCAGGGTGGTGAGTTCAAGCCCCTCATTGGGCTCCATGCTGGGTATGCAGCCTACTTCAAAAAAAAAAAAAAAAAAAAAAGGAAAAGAAAAAAAACTACAGCTCCCACTTATTTCTGAAATCTTCAAAGCAGCCAAAAAGACCAGAAAAATTTTAGTAATTGTTGGAGCATATGAGGGGGACAAGGGATATGCAGGGATGCTTTGGCCCAAAATCTCCAGAGGGTTCTTTCATTCTTACCCATCTCTTTGGCTAAGATGACTAGTATACTTGCCTCATTGCAACCTGCAGACAAATGTCCTATAGCTTGGAAGATTCAAAGGAGAGAGGTGGTTTACCAGGTCGGAGTAATCAGGTAGAGCAAAGTTGTATTTCAGTGTTCAAGTTAAATCTCATATTGCCAGAGAGCCTTGAAATTGTGAGTGACATTTATTACAGGTGGTACAATTCTTAGGGAGCCAGTAGGACTCTCTATGCAAATCTAAAACATAGATGATTTCCACACATAGAACTTAAGAAAGACTATTCAGAAAAGGGATATACTTCTTCTGGTATTGTTGACCAGCACATAACTCTAGCATTGGGTCGGTGCTCATAAAAAGAGAAAGCCTGAAAGAAAACAGCAATTGTTCAAACAAATAGCGCTCTGGAACCCACAATGAAATGAATTTATATTGGTGGGCCAAGAAGAAAGACTGGAAATTCTCAAAAATATAAACAATTAAATCTTTCAATTTTGGACTATAATAGTGCAAATTTTACCCAACTCCAGATTTCAGTTTAAGTTAAATATAAAATAGACTAGGTTACATATGGCAACAGTACAAAAAATGCGTTCCATTTTTTTTATTTTAATTCATTCAGATAACCTTTTTTTTTTTTGGTTACCATGATACCAAAGAATGGATTAGAAAAAACACTTTAATTTCAAAAAATTGTTTCCAATAGGTAGGTATTCAATGAGAAAGAGTCTGAGAAAAACGTTTTGCCAAATGAATGCATTATGAGTCATCTGAAATGCTAACATTGATATTAAGAGCTCAATATCACAAGGGTATTAACTTCTGCAGACGTTTGTCTTGTCAGCTATATTACATTGTTCAAATTATTTAAACCAGGTCTCTCTGGCCCAGAGTGAACATTGACGACTGCCTTAAAATCCCAAGCAAGCCTTAATTATCCAAGTAAATCAGGCTAGGATTGGGTCAAACTCTTAGGTAACCAAGGAGATAGGATTATTTTGTTTTGTTTCATCGTTTCTTTTTTAATGGACTAGTTTCCTTTCGCTGTACCTCATAACTCTCTTGAAAATCAACCAGACAACATGTCACCAAGGTCAGTAGAGCGAGCAAGAAATGACAGGTGAACGAGCAGAACGTGTGGTTTTTCAAGCCGTTACTGCCAGAGTTATCAGCGTCTGTTATCAGTGGCTTCCCCGATGCTAGAAAGCAAAACAAAGAAAGTTTTCTCACACGGGTGAAATCAGGTTCCAGGAGAGCCCCTTGAAAAATATCCTCAGCCCCTCTCTTGTCTAGACCTAACGCCAAAAGTGTAAGGAACCAGATTCTTAGGAATGAGTTTCCTGCCCTGAGTGCCTGAAACAGAATCCAGTTTTTCAGCTGAACTCCAGGCAGAGAATAAAATAGAGAATCTTGATGCTAGTGATGGGGGAGTTTCTCTGAACAGCTGATTCCCTAGGAAAGCCATGACTGGCCATGGTCCATTTACAAAATGGTGACCAGCAGGAGCTTCCAGCTCCTAGCAAACACTCCATCCCAACCAGATACAACCAATTAATTTGGTTATAGCTCTATTACCATGAGCTTTACAGCTAAAGCCCAAATCCAAATTCAGGACTGAACATTAGAAAAACCATTGCATTTACTCCCTCATTATGAAGACTTCTCATTTAGCATCACCTTGTGTCTTGATTGTAGATCATAGCAAATAAAAGCACACTGGAATTCAGCATTCTTAATTTGATATCACAGGTTTTAAAAACTCACCTAAGGTTTGCTTTCTTTTGTTCTGTTCTGTTTTTGAGAGAAAGAGAGTGTGAGCAGTCAGGGGGAAAGGGGGACAAGAGGGAGAAGGAAAGAATTTTAAGCAGACTCTGTACTGAGTGCAGAGCCCCAGGCAGGGCTCCGTCTCACCACCGTAAGATCATGGCCTGAGCAGAAATGAAGAGTCAGACACTTAAAGGACTGAACCACTCAGGTGTCTCAAAAATCACCTAAGTTTTTGGTATAAGAGCTATAGTCACACAGCAATTAATATTGAAAATTAGCAGTTAAACTTGTAGTTGGAAATATATCCAGATCATCATTCAGAGATTAGTTGTCTCTCCTGATTTCAGGCATTTTCAGTTGCCCCACCCCACCACTTCTTTTTTAACAGTTATTTGAGGATCGGAGCACCTGGGTGGCTCAGTCAGTTAAGTGCCTGCCTTCGGCTCAGGTCATGATACCAGGGTCCTGGAATCAAGCCCCATGTCAGGATCCCTGCTCAACAGGGAGTCTCCTTCTCCTTCTGCCCCTCCCCCACCATGCACCCTCTCACTCTCTCTGTGGTTTCTTTCTCAAAAAATTAAAATCTTTAAACAAACAAACAAAAACTGTTATCAAAGATAGCCTAAGAATCCATGTCTCCATGGCCAAAATTTATCATAATTCAGAAACTTCAGTAAGTCATGATGGGAATCAATCATTACTCCCTCCCTCAAAGCGTTAAAACTTTCAGTTTCAAAGAAAGAAAATGATGCAGGTACAGAATGGCAAGTAGATCATAGAGCTCAGGGTGAGGCGTGAATGTAAGAGGAGGCCAGGGGCACATACAATAATGGAGACCAACATTCCTCAGCTTCACTTAGAATAAAACAAGAACTGGGTTTAAACTGGTTTTATGTCTATAAGGACTTCCTGGGAATGACAGTTGTCATTTCTGATTAAAGACTCAAACTGCAGGATAGTCCCTTATAAAAGAATAAGTATTCACCTAAAGGCACAGAGATGTACTCCTTAACTTCAGCGGCTATCCTTTCTGATCTGTAAAATGGAGATGACACTCTGAAGTGATCCCAGCACTACCAACCTCAGAATATTTGAACCAGTCAGCTAGTCCTTCTCAGACCTGTGTTTTTGATTGACACAATGCCAAGAACAAGCACCCAGCCCGCTCTCACTCCAAGGGCTGATGCATTTAAAGTAAACCAACGGATGCAGACAGCTACTCAGCCTGACTGCGATTGTCCAGAGGATTGATGAATAAAATATAGATAATTGAAACTCAGACGATCTAGAAACTTCTTTGTAGTTGTTCTTTTCCATCTCTGCTTCAGCCGTGTCACTTAGTAACTCCTAACTAGAAGTCAAACTGACTGCCTTTCATTTCCACTTCCCTTGGCCACACTTTGATGGGAGTACTAAAAACCCCAGGTCACTAACAGGATGCACGATTGTCTGGATTATAATGTTTGGCCCCAACGGAATTGAAGTAAACACCATTGTTTAATTCCCACACTTGTGGATAACCATCTTCCAAAATAAATTGATTATATTTACAGGAAGCCAGCCTCCTGCCAAACCATTCGTTTTCACCATGAAAAATGGCTCCACTGTTGCTTGTCTGGTGAAAGATTTCTACCCTAAGCAAATAGACATAAAACTTGAAGCACCCAAGACTATAGTAGAATTTGACCCTGCTATCGTCGTCTCTCCCAATGGGAAGTACAGTGCTGTCAAGCTGGGTCGGTATGAGGATTCCAATTCAGTGACCTGTTCGGTTGAACACAACAATGAAATCGTGCGCTCCACTGACTTTGAACCAAAGAAAAGTCCTTCAGGTAGGTCATATCTAGCTTCAAGGGGTTGGAATTGTAGGGATGAAGCGTTAAGGGAAAGGGAAGTTGGAGATGTAAACTCTTTTTTTTTTTTAAGATTTTATTTATTTATTTGACAGACAGAGATCACAGGTAGGCAGAGAGGCAGGCAGAGAGAGAGGGGAAGCAGGCTCCCTGCTGAGCAGAGAGCCTGATGCTGGGCTCGATCCCAGGACCCTGGGACCATGACCTGAGCCGAATGCAGAGGCTTTAACCCACTGAGCCACCCAGGCGCCCCAGAGATGTAAACTCTTGACTGATCACTGTCAATATGGCATCACGCAGGAAACAAGGCTGAGGCCCAACTAGGCCCATCATTGACTTGGATTTGAACTCTGCATCCCCAAGCTGGAACCTGAGATAAAGCCCAGCTTATTTCACCCCCACCCCCATTTCTTCTTCACCAACCACTGTCTACTTTGTACTGATGACTGTCCTCCTACTAGACCCTGGGTTAAAAATTCATGTGCAGTCTAATCCAGTGTGAATATCAAAACGAGGGGGCAGGCTGGCCTATCATGGGATTGAGAATCCTAGTTCTTCCTACAAATTAGAGGCATACCTGATTGTGGAACTCACAGTGTAACAAAACAAAACAAAATCCAGAATGGGAAGAATGTTGGCTATGTGAACAGCTGTCTGAACTTAACCAAGTCATACCCCCTGGTCCTCAGTGTGCTTACTTAGAGTCTCCTCCACTTTTAAAATCTGAAATCCTTTGAACCTCTTGGTTGCCAGTAAATCCCTGATCACTGCTGTTTGTTCTAGGTAATGTAAAACCAACAGAACCTGGAAGCATGGAGCAAACTTCAGAGAACCTCTATGGGCGCAAAGGTTAGTTGTAACCAAGGGCTGACTTCAGAACTGAGGGTTAAAGCAAACTCTGTCATTGTCAGATGGGGCCAAAAGTCACCATCTTTCAAAAGAAAACAAAAACCACACCCAAGCCCAGTTGGTTCCCTAGGAGTCTCAGCAGAGCTTGCCTGGCTGGGAGTCAGCAGCAGCCGGGGGTCCCAGAGGGCCGAGTGGCAGCGAGCTGGACTTGCAGACCAGGCAGAATGCTGGTGATGGGGGCGGGCTGCTTGGAAGTGTTGTGGGCCCAGTCTCTGGAAGGGAACTTAGTCTCTTGCTAAAGCCACCATCTTTACTCTTATTCAACCACAGTTCACCAGAGCTCACAGTTCACAGCCGGGAAGGTGAACATGCTGTCCCTCACAGTGCTGGGGCTCCGAATGGTGTTTGCCAAGAGTCTTGCCATCAATTTTCTCTTGACTGCCAAGTTATTTTTCTTTTAAGGTAAGAATTGGCTATTTCTTATTCTTACCCCTACATAAACTATGCTACGCAGGGAGAAAAGGATTTTAGGAATGTAATAGGCCAAGAAGCCTTGGGAAGAGAAAACCACATAGAGACATATTATGATTTAATAAGGTGGGCCTCCTCAGATACTCATCATAACGCCCCGTCTCCTGTTATCCTCTTGTTTCAAGCCAGACTCAAATGCATTATGTAGTATAATGTGATACCAGCCAATAATCCCCACCTCCATCCCAGAAGCTAAAAAAAATTATGGAGCTAAGTAAGGAGAAAGAGTTTTTTTTTTATTTACTATTTTGTTTATCTGGCCAAAGGGCCAAGGGTTATTGGCAAGGTCATCAGTAAAGCTTTGCCCAAGGAATTTCCAGAACCTGCCTTTGCCTAGACAAAAAGGATGCCAGCTCCCATTCCTTTATCACAGGACTCCAATGTGTAGACCAGCCCATCTTTGGGATGAACCTCCATCCCCATTAGTAGTGACCAGCCCAGTGCTAGCTACTCAATGATGCATATGGAGTCACAGCTGAGACATTATTTGCCTGCTACTTGTATTCCTTCAGGTAATCTCAGACACGAAGTTCAAACTGGGGCCTAGGTTTGCCTACAAAGCCCCTTCCCCAGCACCCCCAAACACTCCTCAGTCCCAACTCCTGATCTAAGGACAACTGTGGATTTTGAATGTCAGACTGATCCAACCCAACCTGAAAACAATGTCCAGTCACTTCCAAATGGGTGACTGGTTCTAGGCGGTGTGACTATCTAGAAAGAACCTGACACTAGGAATCAAAAAAGATGTGGGTTTTCACCCTGACCTTGTCCCTAACACTCTGCTACCCTAGCCTATTGGCTCCACCTCTTTGGCCTGAGTATTTGTGTCCATAAAACAAAGGAGCTATGACTGAGGAGAGCAAATGGGTTCCATGGCTTATGTCAACATTGATGGACCGGCTGAATTATGGCCATGTGCAGAAGGAACCAGGCTACAAGAGATTAGTGACATCTGCAAGGATATAACCTTGGCAAGTGCTGGCCAGCCCCAGATGACACGAGGACCATGATTCCTCTCAGCCCTGATGGTCTGTGATCTATGACACTCTGACAACTGTCCTTCACTTGCAGGCTGACCGGCATGAGAAGGCTCCATTATGAGATTCTCACGTTATGTCTTCACAAAAGCCTACAGGGTTGCTGTCTCCTAGGCTTCTGACTTCTTGGTGATTCAAGTCGACCTCCTGCAGCCTTTTATAAATGGCTGCTACCAAACCAGGTTTCCTTCAGAGACAACAAACCCAGCTCATTTCCCAGCCGAGTGGAAAGACAAAAGTCCTGGGGAATTAGGGAGGTTATTATTCTCCTAACAGCTCTATATGCTGCTTTCTAAAGAGATATAGGACTCATTTTCTTTTTTATTTTCTACAACTAATATGCTTTGGGAAAGGTGTTTTGTTCCTTTGACTTTCTTTGCCTTAGGAAGTAGAGAGTGGGAGCCAAGGATTCCCAGCTCCATGGTCTCCGAGGAAAATAGACCCTGGAGGTCAGAGAGCAGATGTCCTTTACATAACATGAATGGCTCTGCCCAGCCCAGCACTAGATTTGCCCCAAGCTGGCATTCCCAGCCACAAAAGCCCTTTCTGCTTTTCCCAGTACTTTACAAACAAAATCACATTTGAATTCCCATGCAGCTGGTGGGGTTTCTAAAACCTCATCCAAATGCTCTCTGAGCTATTAGCAAAGATCAGAGTAAAATACAGAGAAAATGCACTTATTTCTATTAACTGATTTAACAAACATGAATTGACTCTCTCTACGTTCCGGGCACTGTGCCAAGGGTACAAAGATAAGTAAGATGTGGGCCTGCTTTCAAGCAGCGAATTGTGCAAGTGTTTCTGGAGGGAGGGAAGAGGAACGAGACCCCTCGATTTCGGCTGTAAAAAGATTATCTTTCAAGGGATTTGCCTGCCAGTCTGTGCACAGGGAATGTGAGGTCAGGGGATGATGATTCTTGCCTGCCCCATGTTGTTGATGGTTTTCTGCCTTTCCCGGTGCTGTTCTCTGTTGCATTTATTAAAGTGCATTGAGTGTGCCTTGCCTCTAGCTTTACTCATAACACACCACCGCAGGGGGTAAGTGGGTGCTGCGAACTCTCTGTTAGGCAAAAAGAAGCCAAACTGAGCTTATAGGTCATGCTGTGGCTTCCTGAGCCCCAGACCTGCAGGCTCCTGTCTTGGGGACCCTAACCTGGGTTTCCGGCTGTCGCTGCTTTTCACAGCAATGACCTTTCTGTGGCCTATGAGCTCCACTACTCCCACCTCAGCAAAGCCACAGCTTCTTCCAAGTGCACCCGCTCAGGCAGCAGAGCCCCTGCTCCCCAGTATTGTGGTTTCCTCAGCACCCAGGGCACTATGTAGGGTACCAAGTGGGGGCTTGTGAGGTCACAAATGAAAAAGCCACCCTCACTAAATCCCCCTGCCATCGTCATCTGCAGACTGCCAGGTTATGTCTTCATGGCCCAAAGCAAAGAAAGATGCAGTAGCACTCTGACTCAGCAGGTATGGGACCGTCTGGGTGGATAAGCAGGTGCACGCAGGGAAAAACCATTAAAAAGGCTCCACACAACATCCCCTAGTCTGTGGAAAGAACACCTCCTTCCAAAACATTCCATTTTGTTACCTGGGGCAACAGCAGCATGATTCTGTGAGTGGCCAAGAACAAAAAGATCACAGCCTCATTTTTTAGATGGAAAAAATATGCCCACCGGAAAAGGTAATGTACCTTGTCCGAAGTCATGCACTGAGGCAAGGACGGGGCTGTGGGCTGAACCACATTATCAAGAGCGCCAGCCCGAAGTTCATTCTACTGGAGTAGAATGGCGCTGTCTTCAGGCTCCACCAGGGAGAGCACCCCCAAGACAAGGACGAGGTGTTGATTTGATTTCAGCTGGACTGGACTTCAGGGTTGTCCTCTATTTAGCATATAAATGAGCCACCCTCTGGTCCACTTTGGTGACAAAAAAAAAAAAAAATCCTAGTTTATCACAGGATCTCAAATTTCCTCCACCAAAAGGAGCCTCCAGAGAAGATAACTGGCAGGAGCCGGGCATGGGATCATGGCTGTCTTCAGGTCTGGGGAGCATCATGCTGCAGATTCTAGTTTCCCAGAGCTTCCACATACAGCACCTCATTTAAGCCCACAGCAACCCTGAGGGAGTCCTCCAGAAGACGGCTGTACACACTCAGTCATGGGCAGAACAGAGACCCCAAAGGCTGAGTCAGCTGCCCACGGCCTTTGGCTCCCTCACCCATGCTCTCTACACTCCTCTCTGTAGTGACCGTCTTTCACCCACCCGTTTTGAAGCCCAGATAAACAGCTGCCAGAGCCTGATAAAGCTGCTGGGGCACCCCTGAGGGGAGAGCCCTAAAATGTGGCACCTGCCCTTGGCTCTGTCACTAACCAGCTCTCTGACCTTGGGAATGAATGTCCCTCACGTCTCTGGGCTCCAGTGCTGCAATAGCTAAGGCTTCTTACCCTCTCCCAGGTTACGTCTCCCAACTCTACTCATTGTTTTAAGGCAGAGAATTCAACAGAAATGAAGGAAAGAGGGACCCGCTCCCAGGGCTTAGGGTTTTTCTATTTTGACGTCACATACTTGGCTTTCCCTGAAGATGATGGTCTTCCTTGGAGACACCCCTGAGCTCCAGACTCAGGGACTTTGAAGCTGGTGTTCTGGGAATCACAGACAACCTGCTGGGAGTATCTCAAGCCTCTCCAGTGAAAGAAAAATGTTCTCCAAATAAAGTAAATAAAATGGTGGTGTCAAAGAGCATTCGAGAAAAATGAGGTAACTCTACAATAAGACTCAGAAATAAGGTGAATCGGGAAATTTTTTGAAGTAACTTTGTGTCTAATTTTGAGTCTTCAAAAGAAAACAGAATGAATCACAATAAGGGATAAATGATGGAGACTAAAATAAAGACCCTCCTGATGAGTTCTCCCTAGCCTCGCCTTTCACCTGACCCATTCTGGTATCTTCATAGGACTCACAACTCGTACTTGTCAGCCCTGCTCTGTGAGGCATGAGTGAGCTGGGCACTGGGGATGCAAAGATGAGAATTCTTCAGACATCTCTCTCCCCCTCTGCCACCACCAGGGCCCAGAGAGTCAGAAGGGGGGAGGGGCTTGCTCCATCTGAAGCCAGGGGGAGCTGGGTTTTTATTATTCAGCAGACCCCCTCGGGCACCTCTGAAGGCCAGGCCAGAGCACAAAATAACTGTAAAGAAGGATCCCATGTCTGGGGACGTGAGCTGCCCTAAGAGGTAGCTAGAGGGGGCTGTGCCCGGGGTTTACATTCAGACTTCCTGGGCACCTGAGTCACTGTGGGGGTCCATGGCACAGTAGTAAGTGGTGCTGTCTTCAGGTTCCACCTGGGAGATCACCAAGTTGAAGGTTCTCTGGGACGGATTGTGCAGCACAGAAAACCGATCCCCAGTAAAATCTGCATTGTGGGATAGAATTTTATCCCGGTAAAAGATAAACTGAAAGGAGTGACCTGGCCATATCCGGTACCAGTACAAATCAGGGTTTGATTCTGTAGTGTAATAGGTACAGAACAGCTTCACACTACTGCCACTGGCCACTATCTGGTCCAGGGGGCTCTGGGTCACTTGGTCACACAGCACGCTCTCGTCTGTTAAGAGAAGAAAGAGGATATAGTGAGATCCCACACTCCACAGGCACTGGGTCCCACATGGGCCCACCCGGATGGAACTCCGTGGGCAGAGGCAAGAGGAGGAGAATAACTGGAAAACCAAGTATACAGAGAAACAGGACAGGCGCTGAAAGTGAAAGAAAGGGAAACGGGGTGGTAGGATATGAGGAAGGTATACAAGTGAGTGTACTCACAGGAAAGCAAAAAGCTAAAGCCCACAAGAAAAATCATCTTTGCCTCCTATCAGGGCCGAGGCTGGAGAATAAACTGGGGCCCCTGAGGTCTCTGAGACCATCTTAGGGCTTCTGAGGAAGGAGGTGGGAGGGAATGCGAGCAGGCAGGCCGCAGAGAGGTTCATGTGACTAAATGAGTTCTAGCTCTGCCGGCAACTGCTTCCGCCCAAGAAACTGTTGTTGCTGTTCTTTTGGTCCTCCATCCATCTTGAAGGAATCCTCCTGTAAAACACAAAGAAAATGAATTACTTAAACACATACACAGAGAACTAGAACCTGCAAGCCCAATGATCACCTGCTTAGACATCCAGCTGCTATATGAGAGGCTTTCTGCCCTGCCTATATCCTTGGTCCCATACTGGGGACCAGGTCCCCGTCCCCCAGCACCTGGCAGAGCCACATTTGTGCCCAAGAAATGTCGTTCGGCTCATTTCTTAGTCCTCCATGGAAGGAGAGAGGGAAGAGGATTGAATAAGATCGATTCTAAAATCTCTCCTAGCCCTGAATTCTAGAAATCTTCTATCTCTGATGCCTGGATGCACACCCTGACTCCCCCCACCACCCCCCTGCCCCAGAATGCTTCCTGCATGTCACACAGTGTGACTTTCCATCTTTCAGGAGGCCCCTTGCAGCCCACGCGGGTCTCCAGCTGGCAGATTTTCCCCCGAAGCAGAACTTCCCACAGGCAGAGCTGCTGTGACTGGGTTACAAGTTTGCTGGGCCACTGCTGGTTGGGAGCCCCTGGAACCGGCCCTTCCAGCCACATGCCAGAAAATAGCGTGTTTTCTATAGGCTAGGACATGACAGTGGCGGGAAAGCACTGCCCTGAGAAAGAGAAGACTGAATCCCTCACTGCCCCAAACCCAGGAGTGTCTGTGGGAAGGTTTGCGGGGGTATAAATCAAATGGTGGCAGATGGACCCCTTTCCTGGGCCTGTAACACCCTGCAAATGGTCCTCCCGCTGCCTCCTGTCCAACCTCACGTCCCTCATACACACACACACACACACCCCATAATGCCAGTTCCATGAGGGCAAAGACCTTGCCCATCTGGTCACTGATATACCCTCAGCGCCAAGGATAATAATCAACAATCAGTGAACATTTGTGGGATAAAGGAATGCAATATTCTTCACTTAAAAACTCACCGTTGACATGGATCAGTTTGCAGGACACCCAATTAAGTTCGGATTTCAAAAGAACTTTTAGTGATATTGGAGATGCACTTATACAAAAAAAAAAATTTTTTTGTTGTTGTTTATCTGAAATTCAAATTTCAGATAAGTGAGGAGTGAGGAGCCCGATGCGGGTCTTGATCACTGGGCATCCTGTATTCTATCTGGCAACCCCAAGCCTGGAGAAAATAAACACTGGGCAGCCCCAAGTCCCCCCCATGAGCATCCCCAGTCCGTCCCCCGCACCCCCACCCCAGGAAGGGGGATGAGGATGGTTCAGTGACCCCGCTGCCCTGGCCAGCACTGTCCCCTGCTGGCTGGGGTCCCCTCCACAGGAACGGAGCCCTCTGCTGGCAGAGGACTATCTCAGAGCCTCCAAGTCTCCCAGGTCCATGAGCTATGCCAGGCCCCACCCAGATTCTGGGGTCTGTCCCGGCCCTAAAGGTGTCAGCAGCCTTGATATTTAAAAGAGAGCTGAATGTTCCCTTCCTGATTTAGACAGTAGCAATTTTCAAATTTAGCTGCTACTCATCTTCTGGATGCCCAAAGTCAATTCCCCCTGACCACAACCAACAACAGAGAAGACGGTTTCAGACACCCTCCCACAGAGGGACACCCCATGCCCTAATGCTTCTCCCAGAACATTCAGACTCTGAGACCTCCTTGGGGTGGTGTAGTCATGACTCTCCCCACCAGGCTGTCCTCCCAACAGTCCTTGAAGGCCTCCCTCCAGGAAGGGCACTTCTTGGAACAGCAGTGCAGTGTCATGGTGAAGAATGAGCTTCTGTCACAGAAACAAAGTAGAATGGTTGTCACCCGGGGTCGGGGCAGGAGACACGGCAAGATGCTGGGCCCCGGGTACAAATTGCCAGTTAGAAGATGAACAAGTTCTGGGAATCTCATGTAAAGCCTGGTGATTATAGTTGATACCATTGTATTATATACTTGAAAGCTGCTAAGGAAATAGACCTTCAGTGTTCTCTCAGGGCACCAGGGTGGTGCAGTTGGTTAAGCATCCTACTCTTAGTTTCAGCTCTGGTCGTGCTCTCAGGGTCTCAGGATCGAGCCCCTCATCAGGCTCCTCACTCAACATGGAGTCTGCTGAAGATTTTCTCTCTCCCTCTGTCCCTCCCCCCTTGCTCTTGCTCTCTCTCTCTCCCACTCAAATAAACAAATAAAATCTTAAAAAATTTTTAAAAGATCATAAATGTTCCCACCACAAAAAAAGTTATGGTGAATATGTCACGTGCTAGAGGTACAAGCTCGCGCTGTGTTGGTGACCATCTTGCAACATGTGAGGACATCAAATCAAAGGCTGTATACCTTAAATGTACACAGTGTTATATCCATTATTTCTCAACCAAGCTGGAAGAGAATTTTTTTTCATTTTTAATGAAAAAAAAAAGAGAGAAGTGGGGTTCTGGAGGCAGGTGCCTGGGTTCACCCAGCTCCAGCATTTCTTTGTTCCATGACCTTAAGCGTGACCTAACCTCTCCAAGCCTCAATTTCTCCCTCTGTAAAATGAAGGTGACAGTACTAGCTTTTTCACAGGACTGCTGGAATATTAAATGAAATAATGTATGCAAGAGGCCTGGTAAATGATGTGGGATTAGCTTTTTGTCGCTCTTGCAATGTTTGCTAAATGGACTGATGAATATAGTTCCTGAGAGCTTTATTCTCCTCAAAAATATTTAGAGAAAAGATGCTGAATAAATCTAAAAAAAAAGTCGTGAAATCTGGTGAAAGTCACATTGTACCAATTAATGGCCAAGAAAAAAAAGTGACCCACATCTTTAATTTTTTGTCCATTTTGCAAGCATGTCATAGAGCTCCGTGCCCTCCTGAGCCCTGAGACCACTGGGCTCTTCCCAAATCCTTAAGAGCAGTGGGAGCCTGAGAAATGAACCTTCCAAGCCTGCTTGTATGTTTTCTAAAATTTGCAACAGGCTTCTTCGTGAGAGACCACAATGTGCAACTGAGTACAGTCAAGTGACCCCCAATGTTTCAGGAGAAGAGAGACTCTCAGAATGTAAGGACCTATTCCAGACTTCTCATCCTTGAATTTCTCTATCGCAGCCCTTTAAACCTATGATGCCTGCAGCCTGAGCAGCTCCCCGAGGCCTCGTGAGTGCCCCAGACTGCCTTTCATTAGCCTGAAATTTTTATTTCAGAGCAGCCCTTGGACTTGGCGGGGTCCCTGGCAGGATTGGGTAGACAAGGCCATTCTTGTCCCACAGCTTGGCTCTTGGTCACTGCAGTCCTTCAAAAAAAGACTTTTCTCCCTGCTTCTGCCTAGGTGGGCAGCTCTGTTTTTGACCTTGCAGCGCCCTCTGCTGCTCTAATTAGCCCATCTCCATAAATAAGTCATTGGGGATGGCGACGGAAAACAGGTCAGGGGAGGAAAATATTCTTTGTTCACAACTTAAGTCAAAGCTGCTGCTTCTGTTCCCGTTTCCCTTTCAACCCCCAGAGCTGCAGCTGTTTCTCTGTTGGTCTATCCTCTCCAGTCACTCAAAGAGGACCATCTATAAGGATATAAGAGGGTACATGGGCATTTTCCTGTCAACAAAAAGTGTAATGCAGCAGTAGAGGCCATGGGGAAATGTCCTTGGGTGGATATGGACAAATGTATCTCTTTTTATGAAAGAATAGAAACGTGATCAAAAGGAAACGCTTAGAGACATCTGAATGTGTGGTGATGGGAGCTGAATGGTCTAGAGAAAGGGTTTTTCCATCACTTTCTCTCTGTACCACATTCCATTCCAAGCCCCCCAGGACAGACCTGGGCTGATGGATAAGGGGAAGTATGCCAGACAGGGAATGAGGTCCCACAGATGTCGTTCACCCCCAGGCAGAGGGACCTCCCAGGACCTCTATTTTGGGAAGGATCTTGCTGAAGGCCCTTTGGGCAAGAACTGGTGTGAAGAGCCCCAAAGCCAGCGTTTGAAGGAGAGCTGCGAGGAAGAAGCGAAACTTCTATGGCGCTGCTGTTGCCATGTCTGGAGCTGCCTGTGAGAAGAACAGTCTTGGT